GCAAAGCAACTTAGGAGCCTATCAATTGCAAACAACAGAAGAGATTTAAGACCAATATTTATTACAGGACAGGTTCAGAGAAAGGTTTCTAAGATATTTAGATGAACAAAGGACCTCACAGCTTCCAGCTTCAAAGTGCAGTGTATAAGCAATTAGTTTATACCCAAATGGTTTGTCAAAAGTATATTCATGTTTGCACCAGAGTTTATCTCTAGTTCTGCAACACCTATCACAGGTTATGGTTCTCAATTTAAGATGATCTATATACAAAAGCAACTAACATACGCTGCTGAAGTACATTTTCTGTCTGTGTCTTTCCCCCTCCTCCCAATTTTCTTATTCCTTAGTGAGGATTAGCAAATAGAGCTCTGAGGTTATCACACTTCCACTCGTTTTCTTGTTATTTATAACCCAGAAGAAACCTGTTATCATGGAAATTTCCAGACATTACTTCCTTTATTAAAATCAGTCTGCATTATGTTTCATTACCCTGGTTTTGCTAATGCAAAATACTTGGGTAGTTAAGAGCACTGCTGATGGTGGAGATAATCATTTTGCACAAAATTAATCTTGAGGGTCCTCAGAGCACTGCAAATTTACCAGAGAGAACGCCTATTGTATTATGCTTAATTTAAACACTTAAGAGACATAGAAAAATTTTGCTTCTGACATGTATTTTAAGTTTGGCATCTTCCCAGAAATTACAGTAAATCACAGAAGCAATATTTTCAAGTAAAGGTAACAGCAGAAAGTATAATTATTCACATACTTTATAGCTTTGTAGACATTTGGAGATCATACGGATATTAACTGGACAGTGCAAAAGTAAAACAGCCTTTAGAAATGTTTCTTTTCACAACGTAGTAGTTTTCATGGAGTCACAGAACAGCTGAAGTTGGACCGGACATCCTGAGACCACATTTTCCAACACTCCCTGCTTAAGGAGGAGTTTCAGTCTTTCTTTTTCATGCCTAATCTTTTTTTTTTTTTTTCCTCCCAGCACTCAGACTCAGTTTGGCCTTCTTTGAAGGGATCTGGTAATCTAATGTGTCTGTGTTATGAGCCCTAGGTTCCAGCCATCACAGTAAGCAAAGCCAGCTATACAGGTATATGAAAGACTACCTGTTGTAGAGGAGACATTTGTTTAAAGTAAAGCACACTTAAACCACCAAAAGCAGAGGTGCTTGCACTGTCTTTCCTACAGTTACTGATATTGCTGACGTATGAAACTCCTGGGTAGACATCTTCTGTATTCCATCAGTACCAGGTTGTAATCATTCTGCTCCAGAACACAGATACTACTAGAAAGACATAATATAGATCCTGCTGGTTTTTGCTACTGGCTACACTCCATAACTTGACCTACACTTTTTTCAAGGAGATAACACTGTGAAATTCAACCACCATTTAAAAACATCAAAATTATTTTTGAGACACCCAACTCCTGTTGTGAATGAAATAGGATGTTTCTTCCTTAACATGCAGTGCAGTTAAGAGTCTTTTCTCTCTGTCATTTATTCCTATTTTCCTTTGTTATTCTCCAAATTATTAGAATATATATTGAGCTAGTGGTGCTACAGTTTTTAAACCTTCAACCTTTGCTGTTGTAGCTGAGCATGTTCCATATTAAAACCAATAGTAGTCAAGCTATTAACATGAAAATGCAACTTCTGCTTTCAGTTAAAAGCATGAGCCCCTACTTCCATAGCAGTTCCAGAATTCTTATCACTCTTATAAAGCTTTTAAACATTAACTGCATTAACTAATTAATTTGACATTAGCTAAGTAATCTACTGACCAAAGAGAGAGAAACAGGCACTGGGAAGTGATTCGTTTGGAGGTTAAATTAATTAAAAATAGTACAGTAGTGACGGAATTTAATCTCAGGCTTCTCATGAGAGTGGAAACACTCAGAGCTGCAGCAATTTGTGATAAATCCATGGAGAAATTTCATGATGGGAGTGGAATTAATTTGTGTCACCCCTAAGAGTATATGTGCTCACTCAACAGTACCTACATTAAACAATATTAAAAATACACAAATTGAGCAAACCAAAATAATCTGTCATTTCAGGTAGCACATCCTTCAATATCAAGACGCAATTACTTGCATCAGTGAAATTCAGGGGAGCACAGCAGTGACTTGGAGAACCAGAACATTCTTTATTATTATATTCTACTTTTATCAAGATTGCTTTTAATTCAACAACTTGAATGATGTTAGAACAAAAATCTTTATGTGGATGAGCAAGAGACAGAATTGGGGACGTATAGAAAGAAACAGGCTACTTAATACCACAAATACAATCACAAAGTAGGAGAGCTGTAGATAGTTATCCAACTCAACAACAAAGATGTCCACTTGAAGATCATCCCTAGTAGCTAAGCATACCAAACAATATGTAACAGAACATATGAGCTATACATATTTTCCATTCATTCAGAACTATTTTTGATAGTTTTGATGCTGATGAATGAAAAAGGCAGTTATTTTCCAAGGAGCTTTTAAATTAAAAAAGAGACTGTCCTTCCATATGAGTTTAGTCATCTCATTACACACTCTTATGAATTCACAAGCCTAAAAGAAGACAGACTTCCGGAGCTGAATAAAGAGAAGAGCAACTGGATTCATAAGCAAATTCAGTGAGAAAAGAAACATCAGAAAGAAGCTTGAGAAGATGGAAATAAGAGATATTCCAACAATTAGGAGCGAGGCTTCTGCAGTAGTTCCTGGTCTATCCACTCAACTTTTTTTTTTTGGAGTTTAATGCAAGAGATCCTGAATATGTTAACCTCCTACAGGTTCTACCTATCCAAATACATGAGTTGTTTTGAATGGATGGTAAAAATTAACTTGAAAGACTCTTACTTCTTCACCTCTTAACAGCACAAGGTTGATGACAGATGACGTTACACCTTAGAGGCATATTATATCAGAGCATACCTACAACTGAAAGCCAGAGATGGTTTTGCAGCTTACAAATATATAAACTAAATGGCTTCAAATCTACTGATGCAAGTCCCAGTGACAGTGTAGTTGTGGTAGCAGAGGTTCTAGTATGAACTATACAGTTTTGCCCAGAAGCTCAGGTAAAGCAAACCATCAATAAGCAAACCAACAGGTAAAGCAAAGCTCATTAAGCAAACCATCTGTAGAAAGGAGATAATATTCTGTCTCACTTTTGGTATTAATGGCAGGGTGTGTTGTATGCGCAAGCAGAAATTAAACTAGAGCTTATGGCAACAGCCACATTCACTAGGTGGTACTATCAGACAAATAATAGCAATGCTAATAACTGGAAAGAACTATTAAGATGAGTCAATATAAAAAGAAATTACAATCATATGTAGAACATTTTTGTCTATTCATTGAAAAATTACGAACTGCAGAATACAATGCAGCTAAATTGTTATTGATTTGCATTGAGATTTTTTCCACCTCTTCTTGACAGCATTTCTAGAATTTTTATCTAACTATATATTATGGCTCATACTGAAGATGAATTCTATTATAAATTCTGCACATCTGCTGAGATATGCCATTCTGAAATTAACTGTCCTGAAACCCACATTTGGAGCACATGAAAGACATTCAGTTTCCCAATATTAACTCCTCTTACATCAATACTTAAATTTAAGTTAGTTTGCATTCTTCTTCACATTACAGAACGAAATTCTTTCCTCTTTCTCCTTCCTCTGAGGTCACAAGAAATCAAGAGTAGTATATTTAAACAGTTGCTCAAAGAGGAACCCGCTCACTTGAGAAGACTAACATTTAAGTGGCTGAATAAATCAATGACTTACATTCTAAATGAACATGTAACACAATCAAGGCTTTTGATATTCATATCTTGAAAATTCAGTGACTAAATCCGTTTTATTACTGACAGCATCATCCCCCTCAACCTTTTTTTTTTTTTTTTAAATAAGCAATATAAAACTGTTTTAACAAGATTTTTGGCACGTAGATGTCTAACATCTAGTATAGACCTGCATAGGCACAGCTATTCAAGAACCTCAAGTACTGCGGGCAGACCAGCACCTCTGAAAATGATAACACCAACATGGACTGCGAGTGTAAGCACTGCTGCAGTTATAGTAACAAAGAGAATCTGATGAATGCTTCATGTGCTCAGATATGATGCAGACTCCAACCACTATTATTTGTTTCACACAAAATTCATTCTGGGACGTAAAAAGCTCTCAGGTGTTTCTTCTATGCTGCTGTAGATGACTACTGACAAAAACTTCTCTATTTGTCGCACAGCCACCATATTTAGCTCTACATTATCTATTGTCAGAACTAGTATCACTAGATCTCTGCTGAGACATAAGCATCAAAACTATTAATTTTGGTGAGGAATGTAACAGTTAAATTTCTCAAGAAGGCAAAGCACTTTCTGATTAACCTTCATCCATCCTCAGCACTAACCTCCAAATGACTTTTTTTTAAAACCTGATTCTTGATGCTCAAAGAGAAGAATATCTACTACATTGAGGATGCTCCTAAATTAAGTTTCCTGGTACAAATTAAAAACTTTGGCATTTAAAAAGAATTTTAATAGGGTAATAAACTCAGAAAATTTCGTAACTCCATACAAGATATGAGATACCTCTGACCTACTAGCAGCTTACACAATGGAAACCATCATTGAAGTCTCGTGAGTCAGCAAACCAACATATATTTTAGAGTTATTTATTTGAGTGATAAAGACAAAAACAGAGATAATATAGCCTACTTTTATCATTTTCTTCATAAGAATGTCATAACTACTTCACAATATTGTGAAATTTGAACTGTACTCAGAGAGATACTGCAGAGTGCAGGATTTGATATCTATCTTAAACATCACACACCCAAAGAGTTTTTAAAATATTTTCAGTCTTGAAAAAAAGTTTTTTTGTTTTTTTTTTCATTCAGAGTAAAATCTGAAAGTTGAAATCCATCAGGTTAAGCACTCAGAAACCAGGAAGTAAATAACACGATGGTCAAAACTTACATCTTTCCTTTTAACAATTCCTTGTGGCTTGACTTCTCACCACGTTATTTCGGTAAGTAACCTGTAACACACAAAACACCATACTCAATACTTCTTGGTAAGCAATACAATACAAAGCTTTAACATTCACTTTCAAAGCATAGGCATGATTTGATATTCCATTAAATGATGCTTTGAGGAAAATAAAATTGTAATTCCCTTTTTAGTTCATCTTTTCCCTCAATTACTTGCTATCACCAATGGTTTTAAAACTAGCTGACATCCCTGTTGCCTAGCGTAGGACTTCTATACCCCCATTCTGCCATAAGCATTAGGTTGCTTCAATTCCACTGCTACACACTGAAGAAGATTCCTGAAACTACTTGAAGACAATCTCTGCAGTACTCACATGAGACAGGTTGGTAGAAACATATTGATTTTGAAAATTAAATTAATTTGCTGCTTTCCTGAAACTGGATACAAGTACCAGTCATACTTGTAGCTTTAAAACAGCTAGTTTTAATGGAACACTATCTCTGTAACCAAATGGACATTATTACACTGAAAGATGGAAAGGGGAGGGAAGGTAAAGGGAATTAAAATTATTAGAAGGCTAAGATGTTCTCTACATGACCAGAACAGACCTTCATTACTAACAGGTTTCCTTTGCAAAAAAAGCTCAAAGCAACCGCGCACACTAATTATGTAAATTCGACTCCATATCTTGTCCAGAATGCCTATTAATTTAACATTACCACTGCCATCGAAGGAAGGGAGACGAGCATTCAGTGCATGGTGCACGCTGTATTTAACAATAAAAATTAAGAGGACCAGCTTTTCTTTATAAAAATGATTCAGTACTGTTTTAAACTGATTTACTCTGTATGCCTTAATCCATATAAAGGAAAACACATGAGGTATTTACACCTGGTGGTTACTGTGAAAGATGCACAACGTACAGTTGTATGCACCATCCTCCTTACTGTAAGAATTGAGCAAAATTGGAAGTGTAGTTATGAGAACTGTACCATATCTCCACACTTCGTTACTTTACCTCTCACTCATCATATTAAGAGATCACTTTATTGATGTTTTATAATCAATGTTTGCAGCTTTTTTTTCTTAATGTTAACAAAGAATGTTATAATAAAAAGATTTAGAACAAGGAAGATAGGCTTTGCGTGCAATTAAATACCTTCTGTTAATCCAACAAACATCTAGTAGGAAGCAGAGAAATACTAAGGAGAGCTGCTTCTTAGTTTGAATGTGAAAGCAGACAGAACATTGGAAATTAATACAGATATCAGTGCAACAAAAATAAGCACTTCTTGCAGGATCAGAGCCTTTCTCAAATTTTACATTGTATAAGTAATTTGTATAAGTAATATGTTTTTAAAGAAAAGTCATTTCTCAGTTTTTCATCTTTAACGCTCCTAAGATATCAACAGCAGTGACAGTGCAGTGGAGCTTTTTCTTCTTTTGATCACAAAGCAGAACAATATGAATATAGGCACACATTCAAATATTGAAAAGCAGGACAGATTCTGTCAATTCTTGTGCACCTTGGAAGCTGATTCTAAGCAAAGGATGCAAATTTAAACAGACAAAAAGCAGTAGTAAAAATGGCACCTTTCCTGCTGCACCAAACAATGATAATGACAAAAAGGGCAGAACATTGTAACAACACTTGTGTAAAGTCTTGGGTAAAGGATGATTCAAAAATTAGTATTACAATATGCTGCATGCAGAAAGGAAACAAGCTATTCTTAAAATGAAGAAATAGATAAACCTTTAAAGTTCAAGGTTCAGAATGCAAAATTCTGTATACTTAGTTAAGAAAATAAAATTTGAGTTTTTATATTCGTAGATGTTAAACTAGGAAAGAAATACAGCATGACTCCTCAAATTTTTCCTATCCAATTTATCAGTTTGAAAAACATTTAACTGAATACAAAAGCAGCACACATACAGTCTACATTCTACAAGACCTGTCTCTTCATCTGATTTATCCATGTAGAGTGTGAGTTTAACTTAGTATTTCAATTGGTTATTGCTAAATACCATGCTTATGGGGAAAAACAAAACAAAAACTCTAGATTTTCTTAACTGTCAACTTTTTTTTCTATAATTGTTTTCTGTGCTCTTTGAAAACAGTCTCTTAATAAGAAGACCTGTCATTCTGGCTAAAATTTGCCTTTGGGAACTAAACTTGCTATGTCAGATTCTTGATAAGTATGGAACAATACAGCATACCTCAGCTGAGACTGCAAAAGGCAGATGAGAAGCGTAATGGAAGCACTGAAATAATATAATTGCTGCAGACAAGCAGCAGCATTAGCAAACCTCAAGCTTAATATGTGATATTAAGAGTTCTAAGACAACTAACAAGCTAACAGGATTCAGACAAATTTCAATATAGGTAATTCAGTAGGTGTAGATTCATTTAACGGGAACCACTCCTAAGAGTAAATGGCAGCATGGCAGAAATCACAAAAGATGCTTACCAGTAAATTTAATTTTACACAGTAGCATAAGTTTCAGTAAAACTAGAGAATGTAAAAGCTGAGCTGACAATCAGGATCAATTTAGGTATAATTACGTATCTTTGTACAGAACAACTTGAAGCTCAGGAGCGTAAAGAAGCCATAGCAATAACATCACAGCAGTTTCCTGGGGACATCAGTAGGTGTGATAGTATAGTTGGTATTTACTGAGCCATGTTCAAAATTACATTTCAATGAAACAAAAGCACGCGCTGATGAGACAGGGGCAAAACCCAAGAATGTAATCAAAATAAGTGCATGAAGGAGCATTCTTAGAGCATTTAATTGACAAGTTTTCAAGCTAAGAGGTGACTGGAGTGGACTGCTTGAAACTGAGTGCATTCCTAGTGCATAAAGGGAAATACATTTCTTTAGCCTTACAAAAGCCTTACATTTCTTTAGGCAAACATAGATTCACTCATAAAAATTTGAACATCCATTTCTTTCAATAACTTCTGGACTAGGTAATTGATTAGGTTAAAAGAAGAGCATTAAGCACATGCGGGATAGAAGTTGGCATCATCAAAGACATTTGCATCTCAGCAGAAAGCTGTACAGAGGAAGTTCATATGGCAGCTTACTCCTATGGTTGCTTGCCCTCTGATCCACAGTGTACCCTCCAGATGTGCTCCTGGACCTAAACTACAAGAACTCCACAACAACAGCAATGAACAGCAGTTCTACATAATCAGAGATGGACTCATGAGTAGCACTTGAAAATGATCCCCGTTAGGAGACTATTATCTTCTACTCCTAAAGTCTATGCATTACCTTAACTTGTTTTAGATCAAAAGCCAGTGAAATAACACAAAATTTCTATAAAATGTCAAAATTAACAAACTGCCTTCCTTCTTTCTCTGACTAAAGGTTTTTAAAAATTTGCTACAAACCTACTGATGGACTCAGTACACAATATTAATTTTCCTTTCTCTTCTCCATTCAGTACTAATAGAAGCTTTAATTTTGCCCAAATCCCACTGCAAAAATATTCAAGAATATCTCTTTGGCCAGTCTGCTCCTCCTTGTCTTTGAGATTCGAAGCAGTAGTATCTTGATTGTAGGAATTCTCCTTTAGGTATAGATCTTAGATGTGACAGCTCCTGCCTTTATTTCTTTTGTTCCATTTCTCTTTTCATAACAGCACACCAACTACTCACAGATATTTGTCCATTATTCCAAGTGGAACTTTTCTTACTGCCCTCTTTTCCTTTTAGGAAAGCAATGAATTAACAGCCTGTCAGAAAGATTTGATGGTCAGAGACCAACAATGACACAAAGACAAAAATAACAGAGGCGAAGATTATATAGGAATCATAGCAGACAAGCAAGAAAACTTTAGGGCATGGAGATATGGAGAAGGAGCAGCAGAGGGATGAGGTCAAGAAACAACTGAAATGCAAGGACAAAGATCATAGAGGAAAAAAGCATAATAAGAATATGACTAACTTCTGGAGTTACAGCCCTTTTTATATGCTGACAAGCCACGTGAACTCAGATCCTGCTTATTTTGTGATTGCTGGCACCTAGCAGACTTACTTTTGGTTGGTGGCTTTTTTTTTTTTTTAATGTCATTGAAAGAAAGCATCTCACCAGAGATTTTGCAGAAAACTTCTCTTACAAAAATAAAACATGCATTCAGAGCTTTCGAATGGCTGATAGAGAATAAATTGTTCATCATCAAACATGGTTCTCTGCATTAGAACAACACTCCCTAGAATTTAATAATAAAAAACTTTTTCTTTACATTGCAGTACTACAGAATGGAGTAGGCAGAAAAAGCACCAACATTAAGTGATCTCCACTGAACTGATTGGTCCATGGTTGTTACAAGTTAGCCTGGTTTTCTTACCTGAAAGGAGCAAAGAGTATTGGTTACCATGGACAAGTAATAGTGCAGTATAATTGCACTCTGGGGATTCTAAAGCTTTTAGAGATGTTATAATTATTTGAAAAATTTCCAGTAAGCACTAAATATCCAAAACAGCACCTGTACTCAGCTAAGTTGAACTAGCTGTGCACCACTTCTGAGAGTTAAATCATTTAATAAAAGATTATGCAAAGTTCACTGAAAAAGCCACACAAGAGACCAAAGATCCAGAGACCTTTTATACTTCTACAAAGTATTAATTTGGTACACATGAAGTTGAGAAAATGGGTTAGAAAGAAGATGCAGATGGTTTTCTCAATTGGGAAAATAAGTTTGTGTTAAATTTTTACAGATGGAATTAGGCTTTAATGGCCAACTTATGTAATATTCTACAAATTGACAGCAGAGTCTGGCAAAAAGAGCATAATAATGAAGGATTTAACACCATCATTTTGCTAATTGAAAGGACCTGACCTCATCAGGATCATGCACTGCAAGTGAGAACGATAACACTGCAAATTATCACTGCTTCGCAGATGTCAGCATCTCCTACTTGTAAAGAGAACAGGACTAAGCACATTAAATTCTATTGATTAAAATTTAGTTTATTTCCCACCAATATATATGGTGTTTTAGAAGCTTTAGAAACAGGTGGGGATAAGTAAGGTAAGG